ACTGAGTTCCAGAGCTAGGATTTTTCCTCCACTTTCACTTCCCTGTAACTTCTCCCCTAGGGTTTCTTTTCGGTTTCAACTTCATTGCTCCTCTTCCTCAGTTTCTCCTGCTCGATGTTCTAAACCTAATCACAGCTCTCGAAACCGCAAATATGGCGGTGTACTACCTTCGATTTTGCGATCTCTTGATTCTTCCAGTGATATTGAAACAACCCTTTCTTCACTTTGTCTCAATTTAAGCCCTAAAGAACAAACTGTTCTTCTCAAGGAGCAGACTCGTTGGGACAGAGTTCTTCGTGTGTTTCGTTTCTTCCAGTCTCATCAAGGTTATGTCCCTAATGTGATTCATTACAATATTGTGCTTAGAGCTTTGGGTAGAGCTGGGAAATGGGATGAATTGAGGCTTTGTTGGATTGAGATGGCTCATAATGGTGTTTTGCCTACTAATAATACTTATGGGATGCTTGTTGATGTCTATGGTAAAGCTGGTCTTGTTAAAGAAGCTCTTCTTTGGATTAAACACATGGAACAGAGAATGCATTTCCCTGATGAAGTTACTATGGCTACTGTTGTTAGGGTGTTCAAGAACTCTGGAGAGTTTGATCGTGCTGATAGATTCTTTAAAGGTTGGTGTGATGGTCGAGTTAACTTGGATGATCTTGATTTGGATTCTATTGATGATTCTCCGAAGAATGGCTCGGCTTCGTCTCCTGTAAACTTGAAGCAGTTCTTGTCCATGGAGCTCTTTAAGGTCGGTGCAAGGAGCCCTATTGAGAAAAGTGTGAATTTTAGCTCAGACGCTTCTCCTCGAAAGCCAAGGTTAACTTCCACTTTCAACACTCTGATTGATTTGTATGGAAAGGCAGGTCGGTTAAATGATGCAGCTAATCTCTTCTCTGAGATGTTGAAATCTGGAGTACCTATAGATACAGTCACATTTAATACGATGATACATACTTGTGGAACTCATGGGCACTTGTCAGAGGCTGAAGCTTTGTTGAAGAAGATGGAAGAGAAAGGGATAAACCCTGATACTAAGACATATAACATCCTTTTGTCTCTTCATGCTGATGCTGGGGACGTTGAGGCGGCTCTTAGATACTATAGGAAAATCAGGAAAGTGGGGCTTTTCCCTGATACTGTAACTCATCGAGCTGTTCTTCATATCTTATGCCATCGTAATATGATTGGAGAAGTCGAAGCTGTGTTGGCCGAGATGGACAGAAATAGCATTCGCATTGATGAGCACTCTGTTCCTGTTATTATGCAGATGTATGTTAATGAAGGTCTGATCGGACAGGCGAAAGCTCTGTTTGAGAGGTTCCAGTTGGATTGTGTGCTTTCGTCAACTACACTTGCAGCGGTAATTGATGTCTATGCTGAAAAGGGATTGTGGGTTGAAGCGGAGGCTGTGTTCTATGGGAAGAGAAACATGACAGGTCAGAGGAATGATGTTTTGGAGTACAATGTCATGATCAAAGCTTATGGCATGGCCAAACTTCATGAGAAAGCCCTTTCTCTCTTCAAAGGGATGAAGAAACAGGGGACTTGGCCTGATGAATGCACTTACAATTCCCTTGTCCAGATGCTTGCTGGGGTTGACTTAGTGGACGAAGCCCAGAAGATCTTGGCTGAAATGATGGATTCGGACTGCAAGCCGGGATGCAAGACCTTTGCTTCTTTGATTGCTAGCTATGTGCGGCTTGGCCTGTTATCTGATGTTGTTGACCTGTACGAAACAATGAAGAAAACAGGGGTGAAACCGAACGAGGTTGTTTATGGTTCCTTGATTAATGGATTTGCTGAGAGTGGCATGGTCGAAGAAGCGATTCAATACTTCCGAATGATGGAAGAAGACGGTGTTCAGTCCAATAATATTGTTCTGACTTCCCTTATTAAGGCTTATAGCAAAGTGGGGTGTCTTGAAGAAGCTAGGAGAGTGTATGACATAATGAAGGATTCTGAAGGTGGCCCAGATGTTGCTGCATCAAACAGCATGCTAAGTCTCTGTGCAGATCTCGGCATGGTTTCTGAAGCAGAAACCATTTTTAATGATCTAAGAGGAAAAGGCACATGCGATGTTATTTCATTTGCGACAATGATGTACTTGTACAAGGGCATGGGCATGCTTGACGAAGCCATTGAAGTGGCTGAAGAGATGAGAGAGTCTGGACTACTAAATGACTGCACTTCATTTAACCAGGTTATGGCTTGCTACGCTGCTGATGGGCAGTTACGCGAGTGCTGCGAACTGTTTCATGAGATGTTATTTGAAAGAAAGCTCTTGCTGGATTGGGGAACGTTTAAAACCCTTTTCACTCTGTTGAAGAAAGGCGGGGTGCCAAGTGAAGCTGTGGCACAGCTACAAACTGCATACAATGAAGCTAAACCGCTTGCCACAGCAGCGATCACTGCAACTCTGTTCTCAGCCATGGGTTTGTATGCGTATGCGCGGGATTCATGCGAAGAGCTCACAAAAGATGAAATCCCTGTTGAGCATTTTGCATACAATGCGGTGATATACACTTATGGTGCATCAGGAGACATTGACATGGCCCTAAAGACATACATGAGAATGCAGGAAAAAGGGTTAGAACCAGATATTGTCACGCAGGCCTACCTTGTTGGGGTATACGGGATAGCTGGAATGATAGAGGGTGTGAAGAGGGTACATAGCCGGCTTACGTTTGGAGATCTTGAACCAAACCAGTCGTTGTTTAAAGCGGTGAGGGATGCTTATGTAAATGCAAACAGACAAGACTTAGCTAATGTGGTAAAGAAAGAGATGAGCATTGCTTTTGAAGAGGAAGAGGAGTATAGTTCGATATCTGG